TACACATCCTACAATAAACACTGAACACAGTAATACACATCCTACAGTAAACATTGAACACATTAATACACATCCTACAGTAAACACTGAACACATTAATACACATCCTACAGTAAACACTGAACACAGTAATACACATCCTACAGTAAACATTGAACACATTAATACACATCCTACAGTAAACATTGAACACAGTAATACACATCCTACAGTAAACACTGAACACAGTAATACACATCCTACAGTAAACATTGAACACATTAATACACATCCTACAGTAAACACTGAACACAGTAATACACATCCTACAGTAAACATTGAACACATTAATACACATCCTACAATAAACACTGAACACAGTAATACACATCCTACAATAAACACTGAACACAGTAATACACATCCTACAGTAAACCCTGAACACAGTAATACACATCCTACAATAAACCCTGAACACAGTAATACACATCCTACAATAAACACTGAACACAGTAATACACATCCTACAGTAATATCCACATCCTACAGTAAACCCTGAACACAGTAATACACATCCTACAGTAAACCCTGGACACAGTAATACACATCCTACAGTAAACATTGAACACATTAATACACATCCTACAATAAACCCTGAACACAGTAATACACATCCTACAATAAACACTGAACACAGTAATACACATCCTACAGTAAACCCTGAACACAGTAATACACATCCTACAATAAACCCTGAACACAGTAATACACATCCTACAATAAACACTGAACACAGTAATACACATCCTACAATAAACACTGAACACAGTAATACACATCCTACAGTAATATCCACATCCTTCAGTAAACCCTGAACACAGTAATACACATCCTACAATAAACCCTGAACACAGTAATACACATCCTACAATAAACACAGAAATACACATCCTACAATAAACACTGAACACAGTAATACACATCCTACAATAAACACTGAACACAGTAATACACATCCTACAGTAAACCCTGAACACAGTAATACACATCCTACAGTAAACCCTGAACACATTAATACACATCCTAAAGTAAACATTGAACACAATAATACACATCCTAAAGTAAACACTGAACACAGTAATACACATCCTACAGTAATACACATCCTACAATAAACCCTGAACACAGCTGTGTTCAGTGTTTACTTTAGGATGTGTGTATTAATGTGTTCAGTGTTTACTGTAGGATGTGTATAATAATACACATCCTGTGTTTTATAAACAATATATTACTCATATTTCCACGTTACTTTCAGAATAGAAGATTTTAGACTTATGTAGATATTAAAGTATACTAATCACTAAACACTGACATTTTAGTAAGAACAGAAACGACAGGATGAGACTCTGGACCGATATCTCGTGTGTTTTTGTTGTTTCAAATAAATCATATTTGTCAGTTTTTTGCAGATAGAATGATGAGTGGTTTAGTACCAGGAAGATGAAGAAAAATGGATTGGCGTTAGTATGATGAACAATAGTTTACACCAGAATGATGAAGAATGACTTAACAGCAGGATAATGGGGAATGACTTAACACCAGGATAATGGGGAATGGTTTAACACCAGTATAATGGGGAATGGTTTAACACCAGGATAATGGGGAATGACTTAACACCAGAATGATGAAGAATGATTTAACACCAGGATAATGGGGAATGACTTAACACCAGAATGATGAAGAATGACTTAACACCAAGATAATGGGGAATGACTTAACACCAGGATAATGGGGAATGGTTTAACACCAGGATAATGGGGAATGACTTAACACCAGGATAATGGGGAATGGTTTAGCAATAAGATCAGGAAAAAATGGGTGCACTAAGAAACTAATATTTGGGGTTATGTACTATGTGTGATACATAATTTTAGGTCCTAAATGTTTTACTGACTTTATATAAACACTTATTTCTAACGATCTGCTACAGTAAATCCTTTATATTTATTGTAACTAACTTCACCTTCTTTGCTATAAAAATATAAATGACGAGACGAAAGCTAAAATTAATAGATGGCGCTCTAGAATACAAACGTAAAGATTACAAGAAGCTGAGAAAGTGTAGAATGAAGAACGTAGCTATGAAAATGAAATGTTGGCTACGCTACTGAAATGTTTGCTACGCTCTCTGTACGCAGACGCTATCCATGCCAGTGAAATGTTCGCTACGTATTCTAATGTTTGAAGATGCGAATTTATAGCGCTAAAATCAAGTGTTCGATACCCCTCGGTGGACACAGCAGGTAGTTCGATGCGGCTTTGGTACAAAAAAACACACACGTATACCATCGACATGTCTGCTACGCCCTCTATATTACAAAGGTCCGTCTTATTCGGTGTATGTAGGAAAAGTCCTGGTGTTCAACTATAAAATGTTATTGTGTTCGATGGGTCGTTTCGTGCAAGTTTGCTTATCCAGCAAGGCGGAAATAAACTGATATCAGGTGGCTGATGAAGGCATTCTACATCGTTATGACAGCAAGAATTAATTATCACGCGTTCGAACAACTTCCTCGTCCATTAATTACACACTGTTCAAAAGTAATTTACGCAGACGTGGGAAAGGCTGTGGTGATTTATATACACTGGCTTCTTCTAGTTAACCTGTTAAATTATACATAACCCACTCTGGTTACAGCATCCTGGTCATTGAATAATTAATAAATTTTGCTGTGTACTAAATAAATAGACAGCAGCTCGAGTTTATTGTTGCTAACCTTAAATAGTATGTGTTGTAAAGCTGTTGTACACTACAAAGTCAATGTTTGGTTTTATTGTTTTTGAACATATTGTTGTTGTTTTTTTCCTTAAATATACACGTCTTCAATATTCCTTACTTTTTAAAGGCCTCGGCATGGCCAGGTGGTTAAGGAGCTCGACTCGCAATTTGCGGGTTCGAATCCCCATCACACCAAACATGCTCGCCCTTTCAGCAGTGGGGGCGTTATAATGTGACGGTCAATTCCACTAGTCGTTGGTAAAAGAGTATCCCAAGAGTTGGCGGTGGGTGGTGAAGACCAGCTGCCTTCCCTCTAGTCTTACACTGCTAAATTAAGGACGGCTATCGCAAATAGCCCTCGTGTAGCTTTGCGCGAAATCCGTAACAAACCCTTATTTTTAACGCGTTATTTCATCGTTTGGTAAATGTTATTAGTTGAAGAAGGAGTTCCGATTGCAGAAAATATTGACTTGTGAAAAACCACTAAGCCTAATCGAAAATTCATAGAACAATTCATTGAAAAGTTATTTAATACGTGTGTCAAAATTTCATAACCAATCGGGATTCAGTTAGTTTGTAATTAAGTTATCTGTGCTGTGCCCACCACGGGTATTAATACATTATTCATGTTCAGTCAATAGTTATATCTAGTAATAATTATTAATATTGACTAGATATCCTTTAATAAAATATTTGTAGTATTGAATGAATCAATTGTGTGTAAATTTGGCAACACGGGAACTGACAAAAAATGTCTATCTTTCTCATTCCTTGTTTCGAGAATTCAAGATCCCTCCAATCTAAGATCAAACTTTAAACCTTAATATTTCTTCTGTGGACAAAAATTTTAATTAAAAATTAAATATCGCTCATAGTGTTGTCTCCAGAGTCGATGACTACGGTCCTTCACTGTTCTCTATCCCCCCCCCCCCTGCATATACCAACTTTTTAAATTTCAGCTTCTCATCTTCAAACCATTCCTAATGAGATCCAGTCAAAGGAGTCTCGATCGTATCTACCAGTTTTCAACCTTCCTCAATCTAATCATACATCCGTAGTAGATCATATTCCGTGGTGTTTCAGGAGACAGGGACCGTGTTTAGTTCCTAATAAGCATCAACAGATGGCTCTTAACTGTATCAAGAAAGATTTCTCTATAAATATAGCAATTTTTAGGCCTATTAAGAAAGGTTTCTTTATCTATTTTTATGTCATATCTTACTTTATACCTTCTCATCTTGCTTCATCTATCTATCCGCCTATCAATTTGTCCATCCATTACAAGTGAGCAGAAAATATCAAACCAAGTGTATAGTATATTAGGCCTAACTGACCTCAATTTTAAAATTATCAGGGACATGTGTAAAGTGTTAAAAAAACATATTTAAAACACGATTAGGTGTTGAAACAAACTTGTTTCGGACTTCTTAAATTGTGAATATCAGTTACAGTTAAGAGAATTAAAAGTGACGGTTGTACTCAATACAAAGAAATGTACACAGAAAGTAACTGGTGCTCCCCCTAGCGGATGTCGTCGTTAGTGTTTTCCGTTTAAACTGTGTGTATTAACTATGTACAGAAGACATGTACGTATAAAATAACTTGGTAAAAGCATGTTTTATCACTAGCACTTCCCCTAGCGGTTATCGTCGTTAGTATTCCTAGCTTGGGCTGTTTACTAATTGTTCAGTGTATTGTGTCACTGGGGTACATATCATCAATACTTCTACGTTCACACAAATTCCCGACCTTGGTTGTTATTGGTTAAATTTTGTTATTATCGATAATAGGGTCACCTTTCCTTCACTAACCTATTAAGATGAGAATGTGGTCTAGCCAAAGGAAGGAGGCGCCACTGAGATTTTTTTCAGTTCAAAACCAGACAAGTTGTGAATCATACATCAAGTCTTGTATGGATTAGAGATGGTTTGCTCTGGTACCACATTTCATTCTTTGTGCCTAAAGGCACTTATACACGTACTGTAATCTGGTCGAGTTACCCACTTTTTTTGACTACAGAGGTCGCCTCATCCCGTCGTCATGGCGACATGCACGTGATTATGCAATGAATAATATCCGCAGCTCACACGTGGAACTTAGTCCTAATCATTAGTGCTGCAGGTGACACTGATTTTACTTATTCAGTTTGAAAGTGCGGAGATAGGATTGCATTACATTCGCTAAAAGTTCAAATAGTGTAATGACTGGAAACTTATCAGCACCCTCTGACTGCAGACATGGCGTGGTCCTATTGGTGAGAAGTATAGGTATGGTAGTAACCCAGACTAAAACTGTCTGATGTTAATTAATGAAAATTATAATTTCTAACAGGAAGAGGATGTTAAGACAAACAATTGTAAACAATGTGAAGTCTGTGTTTGTAAGAGTTAACCAACAAAGTGAAAACTTTAAATAATGTGAAGTCTGTGTTTAAAAGTTTTCACTTTGTTCGGTTAACTCTTAGTTTTCACTTTGTTGGTTAACTCTTATAAACACAGACTTCACATTATTTAAAGTTTTCACTTTGTTGGTTAACTGTTATAAACACAGACTTCACATTTTTTAAAGTTTTCACTTTGTTGGTTAACTCTTACAAACACAGACTTCACATTATTTGTTCTGTTCACTCTTACAAACACAGACTTTCACTTTGTTGGTTAACTCTTATAAACACAGACTTCACATTGTTTAAATTTAAAGTTTTTCACTTTCAATGTGAAGTTTGTAAGAGTTAACAGAACAAAGTGAAAACTTTAAATAATACGAAGTCTGTGTGTTTGTAAGAGATAACAAAATAATGTGGAGTCTGTATCTGAACCTAGTACCACAAGTTGTCTGTAATGGTATCGTAACCTAGTACCACAGTCAGAAGAAGTAACGGGAGTTGTTAACACACGGATTGGATCAGAAGGCGTAACATTGAGTTATTAACATAAGGGCTGGACCAGTACAAGTATTGTTGAGTTATCAACACAAGGGCTGGATCACTACAAGTAATACTTAGTTGTTAACACAAGGGTTGGATCATAAGAAGTAATACTCAGTTGTTAACACAAGGATTGGATCATAAGAAGTAATACTCAGTTGTTAACACAAGGGTTTGATCATAAGAAGTGATACTTAGTTTGTTAACACAATGGTTGGATCATAAGAAGTAATACTGAGTTGTTAACACAAGGGTTGGATCATAAGAAGTAATACTGAGTTGTTAACACAAGGGTTGGACCATAAGGAGTAATACCCAGTTGTTAACACAAGAGTTGGATCAGAAGAAGTAATACTCAGTTGTTAACACAAGGGTTGGATCATAAGAAGTAATACTTAGTTGTTAACACAAGGGTTGGATCATAAGAAGTAATACTGAGTTGTTAGCCCACTGAGGAAAACGACGCTTGTTTTATGTTTACGTTATCTACAATTCTTTATTTCAGTGTCCAGTGCTGGGAGAAGGTTGTGTTGATAGATATTTTAGGGTACAATTTAGTGATGTCTATTATTATACCCAATAACATTCCACAGCACGTTAAGAGCATTGTAAGACTCCTACCTAACAAAGCCATACAGTTGGAGTAAGTTGTATTCATTTTGGTTATTCTTGTTTATTTCGTTCACCTTAAAATCACCCAATTTTCGGTCTTAATGAAACATCATGCGAGTGCATTCACCTCTCAGGTGGCAGGGTCGTTTCGAGAGGAGCATTCTGACCCCCCTGAAACCATATCGAAGCCCTCCAGAGATCCCCACCATCAAAACCAACATCCACATTTTATGCCAACCTCCTGAATTAATCCTAGCGGCAAACTATCGAACCACTGAAAAAGCTTCTAAGTCTGACTAATGGAGGACTAGTTTCTTTGGATTTAGACCCTTTTTCAAACCGTATGATATGCAAACCAGGTCTACTAATCTTTAAATTGGTAGGAAGGGAATAAAAAGGCCGCTTTTGTAATAAGGTATTTTACAGATTTTGATAGAGTAATAAAACGCTACCAAATTTCTGAATTTACTAAATCTGCACTACAAAGTCATAGATTTCAGAGTTTACCTCATCTAAGTGTTAAGTGCAAAATTGTAAATCCATATCTGAATGCTGAGTACAAAGTCCCGAATCCCTAAGCCTACCTTATTTGAATATTATTATTCAATATTTGGTTAAAGAATTTAAAAATAATTACTTATCCTTTTTTTATGTCATTTTAGTTAAAATTCCATACTGGTTAATATATTTTAAAACTAAATTCATCTTAGCTATTACAATGACAGTTTTTCATTTTATTTCATGACCCAATTCGAGATTCGTGGAACGTTCTTACTTTTAAACCACTCCTTAAGTAACACTTGGTGTGAAGAAACAGCAACTAATATACATCCTTCTGTATCTATGTATCGTTGTAGTCGTTTTTAGAGGTTCATTCGTTTTTAAAGTTTAACTTAAACAACTTTTAGATGCAAATGTGGATATATTTACGAAATTAATAGGTATTGAGAAGTAAAATATTGTTGTACTCCTAACGACTGTTCCATCGACAATAGATTTAAAGAACTTGAGAAAATTCATTTGTAAAGAAAGAAAGAAATATTTATAAAAGTAAACCATGTGTCTGTTTTAGCATCATATCACTTGCTTTTTTTGTATTTTTCCAGAAATTAGAATTAGCTAAGCCTAATATGAAGTTTTTTTCAGAAATTTGAACTAGCTAAGCCTAATATGAAGTTTTTTTTTCAGAAATTTTAACTGGTCAAGCCTAATATGAAGTTGATGAAGTGGGTGGAGTTGCGTTTTGGGCGTTCACGCCGCAAGGACAAGAAAGGGAAGCCACAGGACCCATCAGAAGGCATTAAAGAGTACAGTGGATGTTTAACACTAACAAATGAGGTATATCCCGAATTTCGTTACCTGGATAATGTCTTACCTTGTGTTCTTCCTTCCAGAAGTTGTCTGACGCCTCAGCCACCTATTAAGAAGAAACCCCTAAACATTCGGACCAGTTTTCTAGACTTAGCAGTCTTACCAGACACCAACTCCCCCCGGCAAAGACCCAGAATCAGGACAAATCCTTGGCTGCCCTCCCGCGGATCTATCTCTAGCTCTACAAGTAGTAGTTCCACATCATCTAGCACCTCAGAAAGTTTGGAAAACTCCTATGATCCAGTGGTCAAGCCTTCTGGACCATGGACGTTGCTTCCCTTTTGTCCGAGTGGTCGAGACTTTAGTCCTTTACCAGCGATTCGCAGGATTAGACTTCTGGAATGGAATAAATCAGATGATAATCAGCTTTCATGCTCTCCCAAGTTTACACGGGAGGAACAGTTTAGGTTGCAACAGATTGTCACATCGAAAACACGAGACTCCACTTTTGATTCCACCAGCAATTTTGAGACTGAGTCCAACACGAAGCAAACACTCGAGAAACTAGCTCGTCTGAGGGCAACAGATTCTTACAATAAACAAGAGGTTCTAGAAATCGATGAGGCTTTTTCGGAAGATTACCAATTATCGGAAGATGGCGATTCTTCACCTACACCGATCCCTAAAGTTGCAACCAGCCCACAGGCAGATAGCGCCTGTGGCAGCTGTAGCACCACGCCACTTTCCGAAACTGCTCAAGATCACGTAGAAGGATCTGAATGTGGAGAATCTCTAGATGAGAAAATCGCTTCGCTAAAAGAGCAACGTCTTCAGATGACAACGAAAATGGCAGCAGCCCGTCAAGATGACGAGCAACGGCAAGAAGAAGTTGTTCGACTCCAGCAGGAGCTTCTGGATTATCGCAGAATAATTCTGTTGCGCACCCTTCAAGGACTTCAGAATCGCCTCGAGCAACAGGGCGAGCGTCTAGATCGTGCATACAGCGCCACTAGGGAGATGAAGATGAACTACACTTAAAATCATTGTGTCGACCGCATAAATCAAGAAAACAAGAACAAATAACTTAATGTCTTTAGACTGTCATATTTATAATATGCCCTTTATTATTGATAAACATATTTTTTTTGTTTTCTTTTTCACTAAATGCTGTTCTTCTCGTAGAAAATTGTATATACAAGATTTAAACGTAATTATATTTCACTGTAATCAGTTTATTTTTTGGTAGTATAAGTCAGATTCGTATCATCGTTTGTAAACAACCATTGTCTCTTCTTTTTTCAACGTAAATATATTTTAAATCTTGTTCTAGTAAGTCACCCTTCTCTCCTCAGACCTAATCAAACAATGTTTGTTTTAAGTTCTGACCAATTTCTTCTCGTGTTTCACCCTTCTCTCATTCAGACCTAATCAAACAATGTTTGTTTTTAAGTTCCAACCAATTTATTCCCGTGTTTCACCCTTCTCTCCTCAGACCTAATCAAACAATGTTTGTTTTTAAGTTCCAACCAATTTATTCCCGTGTTTCACCCTTCTCTCCTCAGACCTAATCAAACAATGTTTGTTTTTAAGTTCCAACCAATTTCTTCTCGTGTTTCACCTTTCTCTCCTCAGAATTAATCAATGTTTGTTTTCGGTTCCAATTAGAACTCATCAGAACGTTTTACCCCCAGTGGCACAGCGGTATGTCTGCGGACTTACAACGCTAGAATCCGGGTTTCGATACCCGTAGTGGGCAGAGCACAGATAGCCCATTGTGCTTAATTTCAAACAAAACGTTTTCCCTACCTTCCTTACCCGACTCTGTGGCATCAGTTATAATTAGAAGTTTGATTTTACTTCATTTTAATTAATACCACCTTAAGAAGTTCAATATTTCTATGAAACTTAAATGCAGTTTACATTCTTATTGTTTTTCTTCGTATGATGATATTTTGAAATGTTGAACAAGCTATTAAACTTGTATATGTTGTGGCAATAAGACAAAGTTCATTAAACAGTGTTGAAGTAACAGATATTAGAACTGTAGCAAATACGTAATAACACTACATTATTTAATTTCTGTGTAATAAAATTCTTAAATTCGTGATCCTAATCAGATAGTTATTCGAGTTCTTTAAACAGCTTGCAAAATTTGGCAGAATTTGTGGTAAACGTTATAGATATTCATGAAATATTTTATGAAAAGTACAAAGTTTTAAATGTCGTGGTTAGCAATGTTCATACAAATTTAAGGAATAATATGCCAAGTTACCAAGGCGATAAAACAACCGCGGAGGGTAGTGGAGCACTGATTGGAAACAATGCTAGTTACCAAGGCGATAAAACAACCGCGGTGGGTAGTAGAGCACTGATTGTAAACAATGCTAGTTACCAAGGCGATAAAACAACCGCAGTGGGAAGTAGAGCACTGATTGTAAACAATGCTAGTTACCAAGGCGATAAAACAACCGCGGTGGGCAGTAGAGCATTGATTGTAAACAATGCTAGTTACCAAGGCGATAAAACAACCGCGGTGTGTACTAGAGCATTGATTGTAAACAATGCTAGTTATCAAGGCGATAAAAACAACCGAGGTGGGCAATAGAGCATTGATTGTAAACAATGCTAGTTACCAAGGCAATAAAACAACCGCGGTGGGTAGTAGAGCACTGATTGGAAACAATGCTAGTTACCAAGGCGATAAAACAACCGCGGTGAGTAGTAGAGCACTGATTGTAAACAATGCTAGTTACCAAGGCGATAAAACAACCGCGGTGAGTAGTAGAGCACTGATTGTAAACAATGCTAGTTACCATGGCTACAAAAGAACTGCAGTTGGTAATAAGTCTCTTAAGCTAGCCAATTGGCTTATAATGCTGATAACCCGAGTATCGCCATTTTCGCTGGAAGTACCGATTTTACTTCATTTAACTATAAACTGTAGGATAGGTACACCGTCAATTTAAGTAATTAGGTTTAAGTAAGTGCTCGGTTAGCTAAGACATGGGTTGGAACCACACCTGATCTGAGAGTTTTATTTCTTAAAAGAATAAAAAGTTAAAAAAGACACGTTAGTGTTCAACAGACAAGGTAGAACTAAACACATACATATTGCTATTTGTAATATATATCATTGTAATATACCTATATATATATATATACTAGTTAGGCTTCACATGCAAGTTAGGCTTAGCTGTGGTAAGCCTAATCTTTGTAGAGCTACTATGACAACCTAGTAAACGATACAAAGAGAAAGCCAGCAAGTAAAGTAAAGTGGTGTAAGTTTATTTAGGTTGTATAAACCACAGTAAACATCAAACGAAGCTATTATACTCGTACAATGTGTTGTAAAAATATCCATTTGTATGTATATCCATTTATATGTAAAATGTATAAGGAAAATGTTTATTATTGTTATTAATCCACTCCGTTAAGTAATTTTGGTTACCTGACCTAATTCGTTGAAAAAATGTTTACCTCTCACCTTATATCTATGTAGAACATTTTTTTTCACAGTCTATTACGGTGGTTTCCAAATTTTTTTCATTGACGATACCCTAACCCACTTATCTTGATTTGCGCTACACCCATGTTGCCAGATGCAATAGTTTTTATGTTTGTTTTTTGTATGTTCTTAATTATTCTTTGTTTGGTGAAACTCTCGCGACACCCCCTAGCAACTAACTGCAACAAACAGTTTGGAAATCACTGATTTGTTAACTACTCCAGAAAGTAGAAAACAAAAATAGAATGAAATTAGTGTTTAACACCATTATAATAGGTGGAGGTTGTTTGTTTAGAGTTAGGTATTAGTTCTTAGTTAACTTGAGCTACTTGTTGATCTAGTCATAATGTGGCCAAAAATTCTAATTTCGTTTACTCGTCTGTGGTTGTTTTATGTGTTTTTTTTAATGTTGTTTTGGCGTTCGGTCGAAACGAAAATGGCTAACATTGGTTACACGATATCCAATTATTTGATTCAGATAACGAATAGTACCAGCAAAGTTATAAATCTTAGACTAATTGTAGTTGTTGTTAAATATGGATCTTTGAAAGAAAGCAAACGATGCATGGGTAGAGCTGTGATCTAGGATATTAAGGTTTTATCCTACCCCACGTGAGGATTCTATCGTTAACTGTGTACGGAAGGTTAAACAATCAGGAGTACAGGGATCTAGAAAGATAACATGCTGGTCATCTTTGAAAGAGAACAAACGATGCATGGGTAGAGCTGTGATCTAGGATATTATGGTTTTATCCTACCCCACGTGAGGATTCTATCGTTAACTGTGTACGGAAGATTAAACAATCAGGAGTACAGGGATCTAGGAAGATAACATGCTGGTCTTGTGTTCTGGTTTTCTATCGTGGTGAAGATTTACAAGCTCAAATATCTGAGTGACCAGGACTGAAACAGCGTTTCTTTACTCAGAAGGTTATTGAAGTTCGGCCTCCATCTTACTACCTTCTTCAATATTCAGTTAACAGAATTATGATAATTGCTGCGAGGTACAAACATACCGTGCATTAATCATAAAAAGCCAGAAGCTGCAGATTTCTTTATCACTATACAATAGTCATACTTCATTGTTTTAAAATTCAGTAGTAGTGACGTATGAGTTACGTAATAGCCAATCAAAGATTTTTGGTTTGACAGGATAAATCCTAGAAGCTTGAAGGTTTGGTGATGGTTAAATATTCGTTATAGATTTATATACAAGTTAATAATTTCTTTTTTAACACCAGGTGGCTCTGTTTCTAAAATTCCTGGTGGTAATCTGAAATTCTACGTTTTAAATAATTTATTCTGTATTTATTTAAGTAATCATTCTTATCAACTTCCAGAAATTAATATCAAGCGTGTTAAACTCATGTTTACAATAAACGTGTAACAAGTTGTTTTAGTGTTACAATAGTTATAAACTGCAGCACAAAACTGTCGTAAATGAACGAGTTGATTAAAAGTGAACATCATTCAATGGGTCCACTTGAGACGATGTGGTCTTGGCGTTTTCCAGGCACAAACCGTGATCACCTAAACCAACTGTATGCGACAAAGAAATAAAAGCTTTGACACAAACGATTTTCCGTTTGTATTGTTACTTTTTTCATAACAATCATTCATCTGACCCCAGTGACCCCAGCGCTTGCTCTACCATTTCACTTCCTCTTCTCTCGAAACTTCAAAACCTACTCTACACACGTCACTTCCTCCTCCGTGACAGACACTCTACACACGCCACTTCCTCCTCCGTGACAGACACTCTACACACGCCACTTCCTCCTCCGTGACAGACACTCAACACACGCCACTTCCTCCTCCGTGACAGACATTCTACACACGTCACTTCCTCCTCCGTAACAGACACTCTACGCACGTCACTTCCTCTTCCGTAACAGACACTCTACACACGCCACTTCCTCCTCTG